TCGACCCCAAAAACCCCCGAGTACCGAATTTTAAACGAATCGAATCAATTTTAAAATTTTCTACCATATTGGGTCCCCAATATTAGGTCCGCCATTTTGAATTTTTTAAATCTGATCTAAAATTTGAATTTAGCGACCCTTAAAACCCTAAAGGAACTATTTTTATGTAAATCTAATCAATTTTTATGAGCCAAAAGTTCTGAACGTTCAAATGAACAAAATATTTTTTTCAATCTATAAATTATTAAAAATTTTGATGGCCATGTAAAATAAAACAGTAAATTAAACAATTATTAAATTAATAACTACTTTTTAGATATTTAAAACAATATTTTGTAATAAAATTCCTACTTAAAGAAGTTGGAAAAAAAATTTCGTTCATTTGAACGTTCAAAACTTTTGGCTCATCAATTTTAAAATTTTTTTGGACGCCATATTAAGTCCGACATTTTGAATTTTTTAAATCTGAAAACTATAGAAAAAGATTGATTGTTGAAATGACAAGAATAGTAACTTAAAATTCAGTTAACGAATGATTAACGAATGAAATGATGTTAAATAAGAGCTCATGTAAAAATATGCAACTTTATTAATTAAATTCCTCAAAAACGGAAAAGTAAAAAATTTTGAATAAAATTGTTTTTGAATCTACACTCAGAAAAAAATTCGTTTGAAGCAACCAAATTTTGGTTAAATCAACAAAATAAATGCATTGATATACAGTTAACCAAACATTTGGTTGCATAAACCAAACGTTTATTTAGCTCAATCAAATTTTTTCTTTGTTCAAAAAATTTAATAAAATAAACCAAACAGTTATTTAGATCAAATAAATATTTATTTGAATTAAACAAATTTTGTTTGAACTAACCAAAAAATTGGGTAAATATAAAAAAATGGTACATTTGGTTCAAACATATCTTTTTTCTGAGTGTAAAGATTCTCAAAGACGTATTTTATTATATATTTCAAAATAATCTTAATACTTTTAGACCTCCATTAAGTTAATATCGACGCTCAGCGTAGAAATTTATTTTTCACAGGACCAAAATTATCAAATCATTTTTAAAAAGGTTTTGGGTCCACATAATACCTTGAAAAGTATTTCTCAAGGCATTATTTAAATTGAAAATCTTAAAAAATGAAATAATTTGACATTTTTGGTACAGTGAAAAACAATTTTTCCGGCTGAGCGTCGACGCCAACTTCATGGAGGTTCTTTTAGGATTTGAAAGAAAAATTAACTTTCAACTCAAGAGAAAAAAGTTTTTGATGGTTTAAACAAAAATTTTCAGTAATTTTTTTGTGTTTATTTTTTATTTTAAATTAAAATTTTAATTCGAAATCGCGTTCAGAATGTTATGACTTTCAGATATGTAGTAATTAAAATTACGATTTTTTCAAAATTTTAAATGAAAAATTTAAATTTACAATAAATTGATTAAAGTATTTAAAGATATGAAGTAATAAATAAAATATGTTTTCACAGTTCTCCTGCAAATACTGACCTTATTTTTTGCGATTTTTCATTAATTATGAGAAAGTGACGTTATAAATTAAATAAAAAATTTACCACATATAAAGTACTTGCGTTGAACTTTATTATATTTTCTTTGTGCTTCTTTTTTTTCTCTTGATTATGTTAAAAATTAAGAAAATAAAATCCGAACGATTTTTTAAAAAAAGTCCGCCATATTGGATCCGCCATTTTGAATTTTGAAAAACTGACCTCGGATTCGTAATCAGCGACTCCGAAAACCCCCGAATAATAAATTTTGTATAAATCCATCCATTATTTTTTGTGTTAATGTGAATTTTCTGTAAACGATCTTAATTTCCTGGATAAATTGTTTATAAACAACCATAACTTTTGTAATTTTTAATATTTTGTCTGGCCACTTTCAGATTTCTTTTTTAGTGTTATTAACTTGAAGTTAAAGTACTTTTTAGACTTTAAATGAGAAAAAAATGTTGTGTCCATATTTTTTTCATTTTCGACCTTCGTTTCTAGAATCACACATATATATATATAAATTTATTTTAAATTTAGATAGTCTTTATAAAATGCAAAAATATTTTTTGCACTTTTATGATAAATTATAATTATGTTCTTTTGAATATTTTCTTAAGGCTGAAACCGAACGCACACTGAAAAAAAATGTATTTAATTCAAATAATTGGTTACTTGACTAACATCAAATAAATATTTACTTGAACCAAATAATTTCTGTTTTTCAATTAAATAAACTGTATTTGAGGCAATAATTTTGAAACAAATACCATTTAATTCAGTCAAATAATAATTAGTGAATACAAATATTTTATTTGATAATAGTTAAGTAACCGATGATTTTTAAGTGTATATTCAGGTGGCATATAATTAATTAAACAATAAATAAAATGACAGTCATTATACTAATGCCAGAAACAATATATCTAATCAAATTATGATTCATATAGAATTTCATTATTATTCTCATTAAAATAAAATTCATGATCATAGAGTTTAGTAATATCAATATTAATGTCTAACCAATTAATAATATATTAATGCTGCGTGATTTCAAATATGTACAATAATCCAAGTAATTTATAATTGTTATACATATATATGTAATTATTAAATTATTTACTTGTTATTCAAAGCAATATATATTTTGTTTGGATTATTATCTCATATATATAATATATATTGATAACAATCCGTAAATATTATATACTATACTGAGAAAAATAATTTCGTAATAATAAGAAAATAATTTAGTTGGCCTTACTAAAATACGGTTGTCACAACTGAATAGAAAGTGTCAATAAATCGAGAAGTTTAGTTGGATCTACCAAAAAATATATTTGAAGCTTTCATGTTTACGAACTAAATAGTTTGGTTCCCAGTCTTTCGCGTCGTGAAGTTTCAGTGTTAAAGTTTTTCACAGGAAAAACTGTAAGGATTTACGAATAATATACGAGAATGAGTCACCTCTTTGCGATAAGGAATAGGTGATCAGTCTATGGCGAACCGTCGACCAAGCCTACACATACTTTATCCTGGACTGTATTTCTCTAAAAATATATTGTGCACATTATTTCATTTTAATTGTTTTATTTAATCTGAATCCTCACAAAACAAAGTGTTATTTTAACCCACAATTTAGTGTTAAAATAACCTGAAACAAATTCTAACCCTAGTGAAGGTTAAATCTTACGGGTTCTTAGCATTAGACAAAATTAACCGCAACAAAAATGACACCAACTTTTTTCTGTGTATGTTTTTCAGACATTTTTTTAATAACAAGTTTGTGTAGTGAGAATAAATAAATAAAACTTGTTAAAAGAACGAAAGTTTTTTTCCAGCCTTTATACATTCACTGTAAAACGGAAGGTATTAATTTAATACCGACTTTAGATACTAAATTGTTATTTGGTTCTATTTTGATACCTAAAATCGGTACTGTTTTAGTACCTTCTTTTTGCAGTGTTGTGAAAATGATTTAATCTCAAATTGTTAGTAGGATTCGTAGAGTAGTGGTCAGCGTTCTCGACTTGCGTTGCGTAGTTTGAGGGTTCGAGCCCCAGCAGTGTTAGGTTTTTTTTCGCGATGGAAATTAATTTAAGTAGGCATAGGTAGATTATATAAAGTGAAAAGGGTGAACCAAAAGATAAGTTGGTTGAGAAAACAAAAAAAAAAATTTCATTTAACAAAATTTTTTGATTGCTTAAAAACAATAATTTAGTTGTACGAAACAAAAAATTTGGTAGATCGAACAAAACGATTCATCAAAAAAATTTTGTTCTGACAACCAAACGGCCTAGTTGCATCTATATTAAATAAAAAATTTGGTAGAGAGAACCAAACTTTGATAAAGATGATACTAAACATTTTTCTCAGTGTAATGATATTTATAATTAAAATAATATTTAAAATAGTTTCAGTAGAAAATAAATTATATTTTTTTTTATTTATTTATATGATATTTTAAATATATTACGTGTTTAATGGAAAAAAGTTTTATTTTATTCTTTGCAAATAACAAAGGAATTTGTATGTTTGAACTTTAAAACAAAACTCTTTAAAATACTTGTTGGGAAAAAAAATTTTTTTTTTCAACTTAAAATCGGAGCGTAAATATTTATATTAATATTTCTACTCAGAAAAAAGAACCTTCATATCTGAAAAGACATATTTCCTCGGTGCGTTTTCCTTTCTGTCTTACTTTATATTTTTTATCTTCCTCACGAAAAGACACTCCAAGCGGAAAATGGTTAGAACCCAGCTTTTAACTTGAAAGTAATTTCCTTTTGATATGAAATTCAATATTTCCTTCTGTCGTTATATAGCGCACTTTTTCTTTGTCCATTAAAGATTCGCCGTGAACTCAGAGAGAAGAAAGTATTGAATTCTTTTGCAAGTACATTTCATATATAAAGCAATAAAACGTCACTAAACGTTTTCTTTCAGTTATCAGCTTTAGATATATATATATATATATATATATATAATTTTTTTTTATTTCGGCAAACTCAAATACTTTCTCTTGTTCTTTATATATGTTTCATAGTTTCAGATTTTTTTTTGTCATAAATTCCAAGAATATATATATATATATTGCTAAATGAATCATAAATATTATTATTACATAAAGTTTCGAGCGTATAATATTTTGATAGACTGAAATAATTCTCATGCGAAACAACTGTTGGAACATTTTAAAAAAAAATTTATACTTTAAATATAGGTATTTTTAATAAAATATTTTAAATAACTGAAATTTGAAAAAATATCAAAATATTTTAACTTTGATTCAGAATATGAAGAAATTGTGAAATTTTTTTTTATCCAAGAAATTGATATTAAATATTTGCAAAATGAATTTTAATATTTAAAAATTGCTTATAAAATATAAAAATAAGATATTTATGAAAAAATAGAAAAATGTATAATATTAAATCGAGTAAAGTAAACATGAATGGAAGTGTGATTGATTTTTTTTTCGATGTTGCAGAGAGTCGAATTTTGGAACTTCATTCTCCAGATGGAGTGCACGAGTGTTGGCTGAGAGCTTCTGACAATACAGAAGCAAATGTCTGGTTCAACGCTCTACATTCGGCACTGGCAGCACTTACCTTGAAAGCCCTAAGACTGGCTTCAGCACTTCCGGATCCTCCGCAACTTCAGCACATCGGCTGGCTCGCCAGAAGGCACTGTGTACAGGTAAAGAGTCTATGTTGGTTTTAGGGTGTGAGATATATATATATATATATATATATATGTAGTTGGAATTTACAGAAACTGAGGAAATTGTAGTCACGCCTTTGCTATTCCTTCTGGGACTACAATGCGTGGTGAAGCACCACAACTCACTAGCAATTAAGATCCTGACGTGACATCCGCTTGAACACGCTCGCAAGCACTTCATTTTCAATTAATTCGAAAACAGTTTCTAATTGCAACAATAAGCAATTCTCACTTTCTTTCAATTATCATCAAAAAATTATATTTCATTTCATATATATATATATATATATATATATTAATATAATTTAATTATAATAATTAAATTCGATTTCAATTAGATTTTATTATATATACAATTTGTGCTAGTAATTAAAAAAAAATTTTTTTTTTAAATTTCAATAGAAAAACTCTGGTTCTCAAACAACAAACAATTGTGCAAGAAAAGAGAAATTCTTACTACAATTTTCAAAATCTTTAAATATATAATATCACGAAGAGAAATAGATGGTACGCGGTACTATCTAGATAGTACCAGGTACCATATTTGATCTTACATATATACGGACAGCTATCTAGATTCTATCTGTTACTATCTAGATTGTAGTGGGTAACATAACCATACTTTTTGTAACATCTTTGATAGTACCGAGTAGCATAGCTTCTGAATTAGTAAAATTTTACTAATTGTTAGTAAAAGATACTAATAATTGTTAGTAAAAGTTATTAATAATTAGTAAAATTTTACTAATTCAGAAGCAAAAAAGTGAGTTACTAATTCAAATAATTAAAAATTTTTACTAATTCAGATTTAGACAGTATTTTCCACTTTAATGATTAATTTTTTAAGGGGACTTTCTGGATTAGAATTTCAAAAAAATCGATTTTTTTTACTTGAATCTGTTCCTTAGTATTATAAAATTACTGTCCCAAAACGTTTTTTAAAAAGTATGTAAAAAAAAAAGCTTGTAACAAAAAAATTGTTTGATAGTCCTGGCTCAATGTATTATGTTATATGAAAACCTTAAACGCATTTACCTCCCTGAAGTTGGCTTTGACGCTCAGCGCCAAAAATTGTTTTTCGTAGAATCAAAAATTTCAAATTCCCTTTTTTTTATTTGTCAATCCAAATAATACCTTGAAAAATACTTCTTAAGACATTGTATAAACCCTAAACCTTTTTAAAAAATGTTTTGATTTTTTTGGTCTCATGAAAAATAATTTTCGACGCTGAGCGTCGACGCCAACTTCATGGAGGTACGCATTTTTCAAACTGGTGCACGGCTTTTCTCGAAATCTACTGAAACGATTTTAAAAAACCAAAAACCATTCGATTTCTTAGTTAAAAAAAACTAGAGAATAAACCTTTGAAACTTCATATTTCTACACCATGTTTTTCTATACGGGGGTAAATGGCCTACAAAAATTACATTAATTTTTCTTTTTATTCTGCTTAAAATACTTGATGAACTGTAAGTTTGTACAAAATTTCATTAATATTCATTAATTATTGTGGAGTATAAATTAAAATAACTGATTTTGGCACTGCAAAGTAATTTTTTAACCTCTTCATTTTTTTGTGATATCTCTTTAAAAAATTAATTTTAGAAAAGCTCAAATATTAAGTTTTGAGCTTTATACATTTGTTATTAAGAAACAAAAAAAAATTTTTGATTTATATTAACAGTTTTTATAAAAAATTAATAAATATTTCAAAAGTACATTCGAGTACATATAATTAAGTATAATAAGTTCGTTTGTAATAAGTACATATAATTTAATTTTAATTTCACTCCTGCGCCACGCAACCCCGGGTGCTTGGCGCGCTTTGCACAGCTTCAAATAAAGTGATATAAAAATAAAAGTATTAAATATATTTCAACTTTCTTTTTTTTAAATTAAAGCTGATATGTTACAACAAGTTTTCTGTACATTAACTTTTTAAAAAAGGCAAAAATGAGTGAGTTACACAACAAAGAGTAAAAAGTGCGTCAAGTAACCCCGGTCTCCCCTATATTTGGGTCATTCCATGTCAAAACTAGGCGACTAAACTGCAAGCAGTAAAATGTTCACTGATTTAGATTAAAAGAGTAAATTTGAATCAGTGTAAATGTTACTGATATATATTTTAATATTTAATTAATATATTTTTTAATATATTTAATGTAGAAAAATATTCAAAAGCAGAATATTCCTTTCCCTTTGAGTACATATTTTAAATTAAGTGTGTTAAAATTTAATTTAAGAAAATTATTAATTAATTAATAATGGTTGTTGAAACTATATAAATATAAAATCAACTCTTTGAAAATATTCATGAAGTAGACTTGTCTCAAACCGAATGGATCGAATCGGTAAATAATAATTATTTGCTCATTAAATACTCACAGTATTTACAAACAAGTCGTGTTTCCGAATATGTAATCTACAACTATATATAGCGATAAATACTGATTATATATTCTCCTATTTCGCCTAAATTCAGGTTAATTTGGAAATTTTATACGTTTTTTAATTTAATATTTTGTACTTTGACACCACCTCCCCCCCCACTGATCGTCTTATCACTGCGGTGTGAAAGCATGTTGTGTGTTGGTTTACTGGCTGTCAAATGCAGAGATCGAACTTGGCTATAGCCTGTATATACGTGTAGAGAGTGTCGAAATCGATAACTATTATATGCGTCGAACCAATCGATATGGTTGCACTGATAAAGGTACAGAATGGCTACAGCGGAAACCATGGGGGGAAGATGGTTAGGTAGAGAGACACATAATTGATTGGCATTAGGGCACCTGATTGCCAGTTCTGTGCGCCTTACCTTGCCCGCGGGGCACTTAAATACCCTACAGCTATGAAGCTCCCTCGATCTGATTTACATTTGACCTGAAATTCTCACACCATAATCAACTCAAGCTGTGATATCCTGCATCACAGCTAAAGATGAGCATTTATAGACACTTCATGCATGTATATGTTACGGTTAAAGTGCGAAATTGGTGAATGTGCACATTAACCGGTCAATGTGCACATTGACCAAATTGGGCATCAGTAGGTAGGTGACTGTGAGAATAGCACACGAATTTCTTTGTTTTGTGCACTTTAACCGGTAAATGTACACATTCACCAAATCATTTTGGTTAAAGTGAAAAATAAATATTATAGTATTGATGTTTTGCTACTTTAACCGGTAAATGTACACATTCACCCAAATCTTTTTGATTAAAATAAATTTTGCTGCGTACGAAAAATATATTTATTTATTTTTGCAGGGGCGACTTTCATGAAATTTTGTTTAATTTGACATTTTTTTTGCTATTTTTAAAGTATAAAGTATTTTAGAAAATATTGAACTTTGAATAATATATAGATTTTTTGGGATTAAAAAATTTTAACTTAAAATATAGCTATGTAGGAAGAATATATTTATTTATTTTTGCAATTAATATATTTATTTACATTTGAACTTATATTTATATTTGTCTTCCTACTTCTGTTTATAATTTTCATTTTCATTTATTATAATTCTATTCCTTTAATACAATTTATATTTAATATTATCTTATCAATTTATTAATAATAATATTCATTCCATTTTCACATTTTATATGCATAAAAAAATTATTTAACAAATCACTCATTTCAAATTTTCACGTTTACCAACCTAGGCTGGTCAATGTGTACAATCACCAATTTACTTGGTAAATGTACATAATGTCTTCCCCAAATGTCCGATTTCTCACTTTTACCAAAATGCCCGGTGAATGTGCACATTGACCGGTTAATGTGCACATTCACCGGACTTCGCACTTTAACCGTAACATATATATTATATATTGCATTTATTAAGGTGGTCCTTATTTTTAAAATTTTCCAATTTTTATCACAAAATGTTATTCTAAATGAAAAAAAGAGATACATACACTGAGAAAAATATGCTATTGAATCGACATCATTTTTGCTAAAGGGATAAAAATTATTAATTCAAATTCATATGTGCTGTAGAATCTATATAATTTTTTTTACAAATTCTATAACATATGCTTCAGAATCAATACTTTTTATGCCTTTAACAGAAATGCTGTTGATTCAATAGCATTGTCTAAAAACTATTTTTAATAAAAATTCGAACTGAAAGAATGAATATTATTGTATTCAGAACAAGTGATTGAAAAAGCAGTAACCTAACGCAAAGTAACGAAAAAATTTTAAAATCTCATTTTCAAGTGCTTAAAAATATTATCTTTTTGGTTTTTGGAGATGACTTTGGTTTTCACGTATTATTTAGTCAGTGAAATTAATCATGCAAAACAGATAAGCAAAAATATTAATGTTTATTAGAAAAAAATTGTGCTCGCAAAAATGCCGTCTATTTTCATAAGTTGGATCACTCTGTTGATTTTCATGAGTGAACCACCTTAGCTTTTTTTTTTTTTTTTTTTTACTGTATTTACACATTTGACATTTGAATGAATACAAAACCTCACTAAAGATAATTTAAAATGATTTTTTTCTGCATTTGAAAGATATTTTAAGTTTCAATTTCCTATAAAATAGGAAAATTTTGTAAAAAGTCGCGAAACAGTGCAATAAAACGTAATTTAATGATTAAAATGTTTGAGTTTTATTATTTCCATTAAAAAATATTTTAAATAAATAATTATTTAATAAATATTTAAATTGTATAATATTTAATGAATTTTGATAAATTTGGAGATAATTTTTCCAGTGTGGTCCACTCATTACAAAAAAAAAATAGTCGGGAAAAAAAAACACTTTTTAAAAAATGTAAAAAAATTCTCATTTTTATTGTATTTATATTCTCTATATCTGAATTAGCGACTATTTGCTTTAAATTAGTGACTATTCGCTTATTCTTAGCGCAGAGTATGCAGCTGGGAATAAGTGAATAATCACTCATTGAAAATTCGATCATCACTAGCGAATAGTCGCTGATTGCTAGGGAATAGTCACAATTT